GATTGGTGGATCAGCCCGCCTGTTAGTATTTATGGATAAAATTATAATTTATTCAACATGTGGTAATTTAAACAAACTATAATAGTATTTTTATTTATTTATTTATTTTAGTAGTATTTTAAATTTTGGTTACTTTAAAACTATTTAAACAAAATCCACGGACAATCCCGCAAATCCGCATACATTCGCAGGACGGGTTTGTATTTCATATATGCTACCCGCGGATCGTGCGGACCGACAACTACAAGTCAAAATATTTTTTGCCTATCGCAAACGGGTTTAACGGGACGAATCAACTCGCTTTGACAGCTCTAATGGGAATATTATTTAGTCATACAACAAAATGAAGTTGGACATAGGAATAATAGAATATGTATCTTATTTCTTAGGTGAGAGATTGAAAGATGAAATATAATGATTAAAAATTAGTTATTATTTTTCATGATTCACAAAATTTAATAAATACTTATCATCTTGTTGAATAATTCTAAAATTATATTCAATAAATCTTTATAAATTGAAAATTAAACTTCTTTGGTAAGCTATAGGTATGAAAATACCATAATTTCGATTTAATCTAATTAAATTAAAATTAGTTACATGGATTTTATATCTATTTAATGTACACGACCATAATAAAAATATCTATGTAATTTATAAAACAGATGGGGTATTACTTATGTGTGATAAATTTTCTAGAAATCTTTAGAAGCAAGTAAGATATCTTTCAATTAATGATAATTGGCTAAAATGAGCAAAATTAATGATAAAAACGTTGATTGTTATCGAATTAGTTCCAAAAACGTTGAATGAATATGCTTTTATGATTAGTTGCCATAAGTACAATAAGATTTTATTTGATTTCCATAAATATTTCATTTTTCATTCGATTTTTCATTATTAATTCGAATTTATATTCCAAAAAAAATTCAAAGATCCGATTTCAGAATTTCGGGTCAATTTTCTGATTTTAACCCGACCCATTTTCATTTGTACTTCTCTTTTAATAGTATAGAGATTTTTCCCGCCAAAAAAATTGTGGAATCACTTTTCCCGAAAAAAAAATTTTGGCGGGAAAATTGCGGGATCACATTTCCCGCCAAAAATTTGCGGGATCACTTTTCCCGCCGAAAAATATTTTGTATTTTGTGGACCTAATTTTGTTTCAAATAAGGGTAAAATGGTCATTAAAAATTAAAATAGGGCAAACTTAAAAATGGACTTTCAAAAGGGGCATTTTTGAAAAAGAGTATTGAAAAAGGGCATTTTTAACAATTTCTCTAGATTTTATAACACTAATAATTTAGCTAACGGGATAATATTGACGGGTTTATATGGGATGACGGGTTTGGATCGATATTAATAAAGAACGGTATATCACGGATGAATTCCTAAAATTAACAATCAAAATACAATTATATGACCTTAAACACAAAACAAAACATACAATATTAACAAAACAAATACAACTTAAAATTTAAAAATTTTAGTTATAAAAAAATCGACCCACGGTATACCGCGGAGTAAAATATTCAAAATTTTAAAATTGACCATACATCGTTATTTAAAAAAATATATGTTTTCGTATCTATATTTCAAAAATTAAAACCTAAACAATAGTAATCATACACTAAATAATACATAGATAGATATCTATATTTAAAAGTACAAACTAATATGATATATATTCAGTTAATTTTTTTAAAAATAACAATACATTTTAAAAAAAATATATAGCTCCGCGGTGTACCACGGGTTAAATTCTAGTTATATATGAAACTTTGACAAAAAAACAGAAGAAAGAGATTTTCGACATCTCAATTTCCTCTTCTTTTTTTTTTGATTTTCAGTCTCCTTTTACAAAAACCTATTACCTATATAAAACCATTTTGATACATCATATTTGTTAGATTCGGGGGCTTAAATTTTTTTTTTTTTAGGGAGCCTGAAACAAATGCTTTTTTAAAACACTTAGGCATGGCCCTGCACTTGACTGATCTCCATTTAAAAAGTCGCATCTCTATGTTTTTCTGCAGTCAAAAATTTCAATCGCAAGTTGCAGCGATTGATTGCGCGACTGAGAAACAAACAACTTTCAATCATAGTCGCAGTCGCATGCTGCAAAAGACTTGCAACTGCCAAACGAACAGCCCCATAATCGCAATAGTTTGTGCTTTGCATTTTTTTATAGATCCTAGTGGCACAATATCTCTTATGATATGTGGTGATTATGAGATTAATTTTAAAGTAATATAGGCCCAGCCCATTACCTTAAAACTGTGAACCATTTCACATATACTGTAAGAACATTCGAACCCTCATGTGAACAAATTGCACACTTGCTTAGTTGCAATTTGCATGAGGTTTGTTGATGGATTTAGAAAACTGCGTATAGTAAAACCTCTATAAATTAATAATGTTGGAACTAGCAAATTTTATTAATTTAGAGAGGTTATTAATTTATAGAGTATTAATTTATAGAGGTTTTACTGTATATTTCTTATCTATATATATATTTTTGGAGTACACTTAGCAAATAAATCCTAGAGTTGCTAAGTATTTACAAAGAATGCCATTATCATAAATGTTTATCAATTAATTAATATTACAAAATATTTTAGAAAACATCTTTTAGAAACTATGCCTTCCAAATATGGTAACAAATTGATTTTGTTTCTAAATTTTCCTAAAACATCTCTACCTAATTTAAACATTAATGTATGATTCTTCTTTCACTTTTATATGATCTTATAGTAATTTATTTTGAATTTATATAAAATACATACAATTAATAAAATAATAAATTTTTTCTGCATATAATGTGATTAAATTTTTTAAAAATGGACATATATTACTCAATCGATGAAGAAAAAATATGTGTACAATGTCCCACATTGCTTAAAAAATTGGGTAATGGTTTAGAGTCATACTATAAAAAGGACCAAAATAATTCTGAATACAAAACGGAGTATACCACGGGTGAAACCTAGAATTAAAAATAAAGATATAATTATATAATCTTAAATAGTAATCAAACCAAACAAATCTCTATATACATTTTGGAATATCTTTAGCAAATAAATCCTGGAGTTCCACCTTATTTACGAGTCCATGCCATTGGCATTTATTATTTAGTTTTAGAAAATTTAAATAAAATATATTAACCAAACAATATCTTGCCTAATTTGTTTCTAAAAATCTCTCCACAATCTTTCCATAATTTTTAAAAAAAGAATTCCGTGAATTTTACTCCACAAAATATGCATAAAACCGATTTATAGCAAATATTTATATTAACATTTTGCATAACAATAAAACTACTAATTTATAATAATCAAAATATTCACATAGAAAAATCATATAATTAATATGATAAATTTAAAATATATATTAGTAGTATAAATTTAAAATCATTCAAGGAACGGTATACGACATGTGAGATCCTAAAATTATTTGATTTTATAACAATAATAATTTATTTTCTTGGATTTTATAGCACTAATAACTTAGTTAACGGGATAATATAGACGGGTTTATATGGGATGATGAGTTTGGGTCGATATTAATAAAGAATGGTATATCACGGATGAAATCTTAAAATTAACAATCAAAATACAATTTTATAAAACCTTAAACACAAAATAAAACATACAATATTAATAAAACAAATACAACTTAAAATTTAAAAAAATTAGCTATAAAAAACCGACCCACGGTATACCGCGGAGTAAAATATTCAAAATTTTTAAATTGACCATACATCGTTACTTAAAAAATGTATGTTTTCGTATCTATACTTCAAAAATTGAAACCTAAACAATAGTAATGATACACTAAATAATACATAGATAGATATCTATATTTAAAAATACAAACTAATATGATATATCTTCAGTTATTTTAAAAAAAATAACATTATATTTTTTAAAAAAAATATAGCCCTGCGGTGTACCGCGGGTTAAATTCTAGTATATCATAAAAAGAATGAAAAAAAATTACATTTAATCCAATTTAGTGTAACACACTAAGTCACTAATTTTGAGAAAATAACATGTTCCTAACTAAAAGGACATGCTATTTTGTTCGTGCTACGAATTTAGAGAAATCGGTATGTTATATATATAGAAAAATATCATGCAATATTATTCAACATCTTGCTAAAAAATAAAATAGAATGATATACGAACTCCGAATGATTTTCCCAAAATGTGAAAACAAAATCCTGAAACTCTTTAATTACAGTTTCGCCTCTTTATCATTTACGTAATTAATAAATGGTCATGGCCATTTAAATAATTCACCATATTTTCTACAAAAAGTTTTCAAAATTCAACATATTACTGTGTTTATAGAATACTTTTATAGCAGCTGATCACTAGTTTAAAGGTATTTTTTTCAGTCTGTGTGTTGTTCACTATAACCTTCGGGAAACAAAACTTTAGTAGTGTTTCTGCAAATATCCACACAAATTTACCTTATTTATTGCAACAACTCATTTAAGCTCAATAAAACTGAAAGAGTTGTTCTATATATTTTTTTTAACTAGCCTTTTAGATGCATGGTGTTTTTAAACTAGCCTTTTAGATTGTTATACACAATTAGTTTTGTTTTAAATATTGCTGGAATTTAAAAAAAAACACACAAAAATCAGTGGTTTAACCATAAGAAACAGCAACTATGTAACCATGATTTGGTGATAGATAAGAGAGGCTCCACTAGCTTAATCCGAAAAAAAAACATGAATCTTTTCGAAATTAACCATAAGAAACAGCAACTATGTGAACACAAAAAACATCCTAACTATCGGAATCTTTTTCTCTTACAATCGGAATCTTTGTGATTTAAATAGTAAATCGATAATGGCAAGGCATGTATATCTAGATATTATCTTAAGTCAATATTGGACAATCCTATAGTCATATGCTCTCCAATTTTGTTGTCACATGAGATGAACCCACATTTATTTATTACCCGATTGAGCTACATTTTATCCAAATTTCTTTTTAAATTTTAGGCAAAATCTTATCCTTCAACATTTAAAGTTTTATCGTCGTTTTGTCTGTGTTTGTATACCATTAGCCGTTTATTTTCCACCATGCAATTAAATGTGCATGATAAAAAGTCCTTAAAGAAACCCCATGGTTTATATAGCTCATATCATATAACATGCTTTATTTTTATAAAAATGCATATGTCCATCGTCCATGTTGAAACACGTACTTAGCAATCTGACCAGAAGACATACTTTAGATTCTATCAGGCTATAGATTCCAATGGTCCGTATTCTAAACCGTACTACTCCTTATATACGTATCACAGTATCAATTACTATAACGTATGATACGTAAATTTGCCAATGAAGTTGTTCACTGCAAATAAAAACACATTCGTCCCCATAATTTAAAAATATGTGACAAAGAAACGCAATCCTTAATGCTTAGCTAAATTTCCATCAATAATCTATATTATTCACATGAGAAAAAAAAGGATTAATAAGAATATTTTTCATAGAAAATTTGTCAAAATTCATTCTCAAACTGGTTATACGGTTTGTTTATTGATTGTAGCATGTTTGCAACATATACAACTTTTAAATTCTATCTTGTTAGTTTAAATTTTTGGTTATACGGGTATTAAATTTCGTAGATATGTTTAACGGTGTGAATGTAGTTACAATTTAAGCTATGACATTCACATACATATATAGTTGAGTTTAAAAGCATATAATTAGATCAATAGAGAAAAAACACAATTTACTTATAATTGACAGATATATACATTCTCTTTTGTCCAAACTTGACCTCCATCGACCTAAATAATCGATGCTACGAGAAAGATATCCACAATATTACACTAGCGAATAGACCCATAATTTTATCTACATTCTGCTTCATTGTAGATACCGACCAATTATAAATTAAACTAATTATCACAATAACCCCTATATATTATACTATACTACGATTAATAATAAATTAGCTAGTAACTTCTTACATAAATTGGCTCATCCATTCTAATCCATCAATGTAATCTGGCGAGTAGAGCAAGTTCTCGTCACCCTCACCGTCAAATCCGATGTCGTAATCTCCAAAAAACGGTGTCGTATGATTGGCTTCAATGGTCACAAAGGATGAGATGGGACTGTTACTTAAAGTTCCTTCAACTCTTTGTGCAAGCCGTTGGATCTCTCTTTCAGCCTCGTAAAGTTGTTCCTTAAGGTGAAGAACCTGAAAATTAAAATTTGATTGATATTCACTTTTCCATTAATTAACAGCTAATCAGGTCTTTTATTAGAGTTTGATTTGATGAGTTTTATATTTTGTGGGGCTGGTGATAAGAGAGTCCCAATGAGTCAATGACTTAGACAAGCAAGTAACCACTAGAATACAAAGGGTGTTTGTACGGAAAGATAATTACATATAATGACACTTTTGTTTTTAGCTTTTCACTTTGCTGTATGATTTTTCTTTCATAGAACAAAGATAATTACATTACAATTAGTAATTTATATATCTTACTAATTTAGCTATTGAAGGTAAACAAACTTAGAATTCAATCAGCATTTTGATTTTCTTTCTCATTTGCTTATAATGTGTGTTGGTATCACTTGGTGTCCATTATCTTGTAAAAACAATATAATTTAGAAAATATATTTTTATAACTTTATCATATATACTGTATATAGAGAAAAAATTTCTCTGGTAAAACATTTTAATATTTGTGTTCACAATAAGAAAAAATCTTGAATTAAAAGAGAAAACCGGGTAAGTAATCGTTTATCTTTGATCAACTTAACCACTATTAAAATTCAAATCTATAACTTTATCATATTTATGAATGATTAACCAAATGTTTTACTTATATCTCTTTTAGAAAGAGAAGAGACTCTCAGAACATACCTCAGAATCAAGACGACACTTCTCAACGACGGTGGTTTCATATGCGTTTTTGATTTTAGTGTATTCATCCTCAACTCTCTTGTTCTTAAACCGTGCACGGCGGTTCTGGAACCAGACGGCGACTTGACGAGGGTCAAGCCCTAACTCCGAAGCAAGCCGATCTTTCCTCTCCGATTCAAGCTTTTGATCATCTTCAAAGCTAATCTCCAACATTCTTACTTGCTCATCACTCAATTTTCTCTTTCTAAACCACCCATTGCCTCCGGCTCCACCCTCCTCTGCCATCGCAACACTCTTGCTCTTCCTTTTCCTCCGCCGCGCTGGTTTTGCTTCTCCTGCTGGTCAAAGAGAACCACATCAAAACCAATGTTACAACAAACCAAAAAGTCTTTTGTGTTTAACTCTTTTAAATCCTCTCTAGTATCATGCACGTATGTGAAAAAGATTACATAAGACAAATATATTATCCGGAAAAAGAAAAAATAGACCCACTTGAAGATATTTCTATAACCAATTTTGAGTGTCTTTTTATATGAAAATAAAAAAATGATGGTAACTTTAGGATGAGCAAACCTTGTTGTGGTACTAATGGAGTATAGACATTAGGGTACAACTGAGAAATGAGTAGAAGATTATGATCATCTACATTCTGGTTATTCATGTTTCTTCTTCTCTCTCTTAGATTCAATAGATTGGTGTTGTTTTTTTGTCTCACTTTTTCTGCAATAAGAGAAGTTGTGTTGGGAGAAGCAGAGGACTTATCATTTATAAAGGAGGAGTAGGTGTCAAGGGATGGTTTGATTAGAGTTTGTTTTTTTTTTCTAATATACATATTTATTTTTTTCCGGATTGGGGCTTATGATTCTTTGAAATTACATTATTGCCACTTAGTATATCAATAGTTGTTGTAGTTCTCAAATTACATATACATCACTTTCGTTAATATTGTTTCATATTGCAAAGACATGACTTAGTTAACTTGAAAAATATCATTTTCTTTGTCGAATTCATGTGACAACAAGTAAAAAAAATAAAAAAAAAAAGAATAAACCACCTGCCTATATCAATTGGACAATAAAATCATTAGAAGTTTTTATAATTTCGTACCAATTAATAAGTGGATCCAGCCATATAATATAAATATTAATTAGATTTGAAAATTTATAATGTATATATATATATATATATATATATATCTACGTTGAAATTTTTTAAAAATATGCAGCTTAGTTCAGTACGTAACTTTTCAACTAATTAGTCTATCTTTTTTAGATCATATACATCGTTTGGCAATTTGGAACCAAAACTCTCTTAATTAATTACTAGAGCTCCTAAATAGTTTGTGTTCTGACATACAAACGCTTGATTACCTTAAGAATCATAAACAAGTCAATGAGTTCATGTTAATTCTTATAAAATATTTTCCATTTTTAATATATATTCTTCTTAAGGTATGGATATTTACACGTTCGTAGTCTTTAAACCCAAAGCAATAGTCTTTTTTTTTTTTTTTTCCCAAAGGTGTTTCTTTTATTGATATATACTTTCATACTACAGCATTCCAACAATGGAAAAACCATTTTGGAGAGTCATTAAGTAATACATAAGACCCAAAGCAATAGTCAATAGGTCCCTTTTGAAAAAACTAAAAGAGATACATGTATTTATCATTATATATATATATATATATATATGTGTGTGATGTGATAAAGCTTTTACGTGTGATGAGAGGATTAGAGGATGTCGTTATCACCATCATATGGATAAGTCTAAGCAACAAACTGAAAGAGAACACATAAGTGACTTGTCTTTCAAAAGGTAGTTAACTTTTACTCTCATCTCTCGTAGATTAATAATTTTTACTCACTCTTCAATTTCAAACGTTTTCTTTAATCGGTTTTCAAACTGAAAACATATACTATTTTACGTATCGTTAACGTTTAATTTGTGGTATAGCCAAAATCATATTTAGGTATTTCAGAGCTATAATCATAAATAAGAGGTAATCGTCTTTTTTAGCAATGACCAACATATATTTTGAACATACGTATGGGTATGTTTGTAGAATACATACATATAGTATAATAGCATCTCATCTAATGATATAAATAAATAACATCATTCTGTTTATAGAATCCATGTAAAACCTCTTTTTTGTATCCATGTAAAACCATGGTCATCATAGAAGGTTTGATGGTAATTTGACTCCGAGGAAAGTTACCTTCAAAGAAAAAAGTAACCTTCAAAATTTGGTTTTTAATGCGTACACCTTAACACACAAAAAAAAAAGAGTACGTAATCAATCGATATTTTTGACTTACTTTCATCGCTCCACGCCAATGAAAGAGCTTCTTCGCTTCGGGTGTTAAGATAAGGTAAGCACATGGGGTCTAATCACGTGTCAATATTCTACAAATTCGCAGGAAGGCCACCTCTCATATTCATACACGTCTTCTGATATTCAGTTTCCAGACTTTTTTACGACCAATCAGACAGTTCCTGTCCAATATATTTGGAAGTTTTAGGGAAATTTTTTTTTTGATAATTTATAAATTTTTTTATAGTAAAAATTATTATTTTAAAAGTTTTGGGCTTTTTTAAAATTTTTCTTATAAAGAATTAGTCCTTTTGAAATATAATTCTCATATTAATAATATTTTTAAAAAATATTTAAACCTTTTTTATATGTAAATTTTTCAAAAAAAAAAAAACCTCTGGCCGTCGCACCTCCGTCCTACTCCTTTGAACCGGGCCTGCAATCAGACTACAGTCAGCAATAGCCGCTAAAATTTTGATTTTTAATAAACTTTTTCCTACAATCTAATGGTAAAATGTGTTTTCTTCAAAATGTTTTTACTGGTTCTGCCACAGCCACGTACAATACACAAATTATTTTTTCACCAATTTTTTTTTTATTAAAAACTTTAAATTAAACTAAAAATTTTGAAGACGCGGTTCGGTGCGAACTTTTCGTACCAAATGATCCGCTTTACCATATGCAAATCGTTTGATATTTATTTAAGCATGATTCTTCTTAAAATTTAAGAGTTAATCTATATTCTGATTATTAAAACTGGCGCCGGAATGTAGAACATAAATTAAAGCTATAGCTGATTTTTGTGACAATTAGCTGTTTTAATATGTTAGAAGAAAAATGCTAAAAAGACATGAAGATTACATGACTTAAATATTTAAATGCAAGATGACGAGTTAGTTAGGGGGTGTTATTCAATGGTGGAGTTAAAGTCAATTCTTTAAGGTTTAGATTTGTTTTCTGATATTGGTTTTAAGAATCTGTTTGTGTGGATTTCAAAATCTCTGCAGTATATCTTGGATTTTGATTATAATAATTTACTCATGAAACTCCAAAGAGGTTTCATTTGAAATGACTTAATATACAAAGATTTTACAAGTCTTTTAGTTTTGAATAACACTGGATTTTACAAACCTTAAAGAATTGACTTTAACTCCACCATTGAATAACACCAAACTTTTAAAATCTAATGAAATATAAGATCTAATAACACCAGATTTTAACGTTAGATTTATAATCATTAGTTGAATAACACTGGATTAGTGTTGGATTTCAATTCTATTAAAATTGATCATTGAATAACACCACCTTAGTTAGTTATACATGAAACAAGAATGGCTAATTTTACCCATTACACCTAGAAAAATCAAATAATTTTGTTTATTAATTAGAGAAATAATCATCTTATCCCAAATAGGCAAATACTTATCCACAAATAACCGTTACTTTTAATTATTATTATTATTATTAAGATACATGTATATATAACTAGTATAACAAAAACATTGCGTCTGTGCTGAGAATCTTTACCAAATTAATTGAATTTGCTTTAACAAAAAAAAATAATTGAATTTGGTTGGCTTATGAATCGGGAAAATTTAAAAGAAATGGTTAACGTATGTCTTTAGAGATTCCCTAAATGAGAAAGGAGACGAACGATAAAAGCATATAAGTTTCAATTTTCAAGCTTTTCTCCTAATTGGGTTATTCCGATAAGAACACGTGTAAATGACCCAGTTGAGAGATATCCATAGCCCACATTTTTTCTGTCAGTAAGTGATGAAAGGGAGATAGACAAAAATTTATTTTGAAAAAGACAATAATAAGAAGATATTTGTTGTTTTAGGATACTTGAACCATACATAAATCTATATATATATATAATAGAAGAGTTTTTTTTTTATCTATCCTATCCACTTAAACATCTACTTAAGCAAGACTATTTGTTTTACATTAAAATAATTTTAAAACATTCATTTAATGTATATTTATGTTACTTATAATTAATAGAAATTTTAAATTTTAAATAAATAAAAAACGAATTATGTAAAATAATTGAAATGTTTATATAACTAAAATAACAATATAAATTTTTTATCAGTAATAATAACATAATTTAACTTTTAAATGATAAAAATTTAATGATAATACTTCAAATTTTTAAATGTGTTAATGAATTTTAGAATGGAGTAAATTTTAAATATATGGTAGAAGAAAACATATTTTTTATCATTAAATTTTTACTTAAAAACAATTTTTTTAACTAAACTCAACTTAAATTTATAATATAAAACGAAAATATTGTAAGACTCATACTTTATCTTGTGAAATTATTAAAAAAAAAAAAAATCTTAAGAATTTTAAAACCTTATCATCCATCTTTAAAAAATAAAATAATCAATGATAACATTATTCATGAGTTCTACAACAAAATATATAAAAATTATATGTGAACTGTTTAAAAAAAATGATATATAATTTGTGTAACATATTCTCAAGTGGAACTACAACTTTATAACATGATAAATTTTTTTTTTTGATTTTTCATTAATGGAATCAAATTCTTTTAACCCAAAAAATTGAGTATTGAAAGATAGTAATTAAGAAAAAAATAGTTATGATATGTCTTGAAATCAATTCACAGTCCAATCTATATATACACTTTCGAAGTACAAATATGAAATAAATCTTGGAGTTTACACTTATTTACAAGAGAATGCCATTGTAATAAATGTTTATCTATTAAATAATATTACAAAATATTTTCGAAAACTTTTTTAGAAACTGTGGCTTCCAAATAAGGTAACAAATTGATTTGTTTCTAAATTTTCCTAAAACATCTTTACCTAATTTAAACATTAATGTATGATTCATTTTTCACTTTTATATGAGCTTATAGTAATTTATTTTGAATTTATATAAATATATATAATTAATAAAATAATAATTTTTTTGATTCAATTTTCTTAAAACGGACATATATTACTCAATCGATGAAAAACAAATATGTGTACAATATCCCACATTGCTTAAAATTTGGGCAATGGTTTAGAGTCATACTATAAAAAGGCCCAAAATAATTCTGATACCACGGGTGAAACCTAGAAGTAAAAATAAAAATATAATTATATAATCTTAAATACTAAACAAACCAAACAATATTAACAAAACAAATATAATTTAAAATTTAAAAAAATTAGTTTAAAAAAATTGACCCGCAATATATCGCGGGGTAATTTTTTTTATACAAAATAATATTAAATTGTTATAATAGTCCATGATTATAAATATCTGCCAATATTAGCAATATATCATTTCTACACCTACAACTCTTCTAAGTACACATATTTCAACGATATTAATTATAAAATAAAATAATTAAATATTTTTTTTAATATAATATTAATTTATAAATCCAATAAATTATAAATTATTATATAAAATACATAAAATACAATTTTGCCCCACGGTGTACCGCAGGTTAAATTCTAGTATATATTATATGTGAGTTAATAGAAAGTGAAAAGAAAGTAGATGTCGAGAGGCAACAACTGCATCATAAAAATGACAAAAGAATTGGTAGGTAAAAGTGTGAAAATAAAATTTTAAAATTAGAAAGATGATATACATGACTAAGGTAAAATCTTTGAGATCTCATTCATTGTGTGAAACGAATGAGTTCTTAGAAAATACATGACATACATTATTAAACAAATTCTTAGATTCAAAGTTGGGCATATCGGTTTGGCCATATAATCATGGAAAGTAAAATAAGATGGCACATTGATGACTTAGTCGAGAATTCTCTT